GGCTGGCCGTCCCCTGGGTGGAGGTGTGGGAGCCGCAGATGTGGCTGGGGGCCCGGCTGGGGAGCTCCCTCTCGGGGCTCGGGGCCTCCCACCCCCAGGCACGAAGGACCGAGCAGGGGGAGGCAGGGGCTCCCGGCCACGCAGGCTGCCCACGGGGTCTGAGAGCAGCAGGCCGCCCTGGAGCCGGCACCGACGGACAGAGAGATGGACAGACAGGCAGCAGGAGGAGGGTGGGCCGGGGCAGAGGTGGCAGGGCAGGGACCGCTTTGCCTCTCCGTGCATGGCCGCCACCCCGCGTGCCGCCCACCGCCCTCCCTCAGGCCCAGCGCCCTTTCCCACAAAGCCCCCAGCAGGCAGGGGCCGGGCGACAGCCCTGCGTGCTCCTTCCTGAGCCCCCGTGGGGCCCCACCCTCACTGCCCCCAGGGCCAGGTGAGGGTGACATCACGCCCACCTGCAGAGCTGAGTGGCACCGGCCTGGGGCTCCTGGGTGTGCACAGCGGTTTCCTAGGCAACCGGGTGATCCAGGAGCTGAGCGGGCGAGGGAGGACACACGCCAGCGGGACCCTGCCAGGCGCCCATGGGCGAGGGGTGGGGAGGCAGGACCCCACCCACACCCCCTGCGTGGGGGCCGTGTGCAAAGGGGACTGCTGGGGGGGCAGGCGGAGGGCCAAGGGCCTGGCGAGGCGCTGACCCTGCTGCCACGCGAGGCCCAGAGCAGGGACGGGGCAGAGCGCCACCAGGCCAGACGGATCCCAGGCCGTGCCCAGGCCAGGCCTGTCGGGCCCACCCCAGTCCTGGGACCGGGGGCAGCCTTGAGGACGCAGTCCCATGCAAGTGGCCTGGTCACCCCGGGGGGTCAGCGGGCTCGTCTGGGGTCCAGAGGCTCCAGCCTGAGAGATGGGCTCCCCCGGCTCCAGAGCAGGCCCCGGAGGCGGGTGGGGAGAGGTGGGAGCGGGTGTCCCAGAAAAGCCCACCTCAGCCTTAGAAGGGAAGTCTCACTGGTAGGGCCCAGGAGCCCTCTCGCTCAAGGGGGCAGCCTGGACTCATGGCCCTCGGCCGGGCCGGGGGACTTCCCGGGCTCGGGGCGCCTCCTGGGGCTGAGACCAGCAGGGGGTGGACGCAGAGTCGTTGAGAGAGGCTCGATTCTCGTCAACCTTCCGTGACCACGGGGCTCAGAAGTCGGGACTTCAGGGTCCCCCAAGGGCAGAGGGCCTGCGCCCACTCCAGCCGCAAGCCCCCTCATCGGGGAGGGTCTCTGAGCCGAGGTTGGCGCCACCAGACCCAGAGGGACACTCCCCAGTGGAGGGCCAGCCCCAGGGGGGCAGCCGAGGCCCAGCACCCCAGCCCTGCCCAGCCAGGTCCCTGTGCCCCCCCGATCTCCGCCAGGCCTTTGGGGCAGGGGCGCCACGGGTATGCAGCTCCCTCCACACCCTCCCCAGACGGCGGTGTTCTGGCCCCAGCTTGGATGCTCCTGGGGTCCCAACGCAGCACGCGGAGGGCGGAGAGGGTCCGGGCGAGAGGGGGCACACCCCCGGCAGCCAGACCCCTGCCTGCCGCCCCTGCCTGCAAGGTCCAAGGCCCCCGCAGCATGCTGCTTTTCTCTAGCACGTGTGCTTGTGCTCATGCCTTCCAAGACACCGTGGGGGGCGGGGGAGAGACAAGGAGGGTAAGGGCCGTCAGGGCTCTGTCCTCGTGGGGCTGGCGGCGGGAGCGAGAGGACGGGCCTGCCTGGGTCTCCCGCCAGCCTGGCACC